ATCCTCGAGGCAAGGTCGTGGCTGCACCCGTGGTGGGTATGGCTGCAATTCCGGTGGCACCTGCACCGGGGCTGTGTCCACTGCAGTACCTGCCGGTGAATCCGGCTCATTAGCCCCATGACCTGCACCATCACTGTCAACCGCCAACACATCTTCATCCACGAATGCCGCTGGATCGGCGTCAGCGCCGGCGCCACCACTACTGCCACGCTCGGATCTGCTGATACGATACCGAGCTGGCAAAACCGGATCTGGCGGTGGCGGTGCAGCACCTTGGGCAGTGCAGGGCATGCGCCGCCAAGCCAGGGTACGTGCATGACGCGGCACGGCAGCAGTGCACATGATGTCGGCACGTAAAATGTCCACGTTGGGAATGTCCACCCAGGCACGAAGTGCTGACTGGTCTTCCGAACACTGTTCAGAGCAGATGGCACACACCCGTGAAGGCATGCGCCGACGCAACGCGGCTGCCATGCTGCTTGCAAGATGCAGGTGTTTTTCGTATGGTACCTGCCGCTCCACCGGGAGTTCACCGTGGGGCAAATCCTGCACGCACCCTTCCGGAATGGCCTCCAGAAAATCAGGCAGTGCAGGGCGGTGGCCCTCGTGCAAGCAGGGAAACCGCATGAGGTCCCGCAAACGCTCAAGCAAGCTGGCCTGCGGAAGCTGTATTGCATGCACCTGATCACGGGCCTGTGCGTGTGCAGCGGTGTTACGCTGCTGTTCTGCAGCCCTGCGCTCCGGATTTCGGCGGCGCAGTTGCTCCGCAGCCCTGTAAGCCGGGTCTTGACGGGCAGCAGCTCGTGCAGCTGTGTCCCGCTGCTGCTCCGCAGCCCTGTACTGCGGGTTTTGACGGGCAGCAGCTCGTGCAGCCGTGTCCCGCTGCTGCTCTGCAGCCAGTGATTTTTTTTTCATTTAGGGGGGGTAATGAAAATGTACGGATCGGCCTCACTTTGTTCCTTATTTCCAAAGGCCAAAAAGGCCTCTTTATTCCTTAAAAGTAATATATTACTTAAAAAAAAAACACTGTCTGCAGCCCTGCCCGGATCCAGACGAACATCCCGCAACTGTGCTGCATCCACAGTGAGGTGCGTGTTCGACGCAAGTATCCCTCTAAAATGCAGGCCACCAGCCAGTGTGCCCAGGCGCTCACGACTGCGAGCCCCAGTTTGGTGGGGTGGATCATTTGGTCGGTCAGCCATAACTGACAAAAGCCGTCTTCAGTCGTAATACAGTCCTACAGTACCGAACTGACGCCTGTAAACAGCCCAGCTTCACGAAACGGCGTGCAGCATATAATCCTACAGTACCGAACTGACGCCTGTAAACAGCCCAGCTTCGCGAAAAGGTGTGCAGCTTACGGTGACGGTGCCATCGACTAGTTTACAGCCGCCGGCTTTTGTGTGACTCAGTGCTCAGCCGCAGTACCATACGTGAAGAGAAACAAAGCAATTGCATATGTCTGCGTTGCTGTCATACTGTAGCGAGCTGACGCCCGTGAACAAGACAGATTCACAAAAGGCCGTACAACCTACGGGGACAACATTGGACAACAACAGATGCGCAGTTCGGCGCGCTCGTCATCCATCGCTGAATTGCGCGTCGGTTTGCGCGTTAAATAAACGCGTTTAATTGTGCATTGAACTGCATGCTGAACTGCGCACTTCAGTGCGTGTTGAATTGCACAGTTCGGTGCACGTTGAATCGCGCGTTGAATTGCATGTTGAAGATTTCGTGCGTGTTGCACTGTGCACGGTCGGTGCACGGTCCAGAACGAAAAGAAAATAACAATAAACGACGACGACGCGAAAAACGAACCACGCGACGACGAAGGCAGCGCTCCCGAACGAAAAATATAAGAAAGAAACGTGCGGGCGCCGGGCGACGAAGCTAGCGATCCGTAACGTAAAAAAGGACAAAAATACGAGCGGCGCCGGGATCGAACCGGCGACTGCGGCTCCCACTCGACGTCGGAGCTAGCGCGCCCGACGAAGCGGCGCACGGCCATGCTCCGGGGTGCCTTGCGCGGGCCCAGGTGTGGTGCGGTGCGGTGCAATCCACGTGCGACGCGGCGCGCCGAACGAAAAAACGAAAAAAAGCGGCGACGACGGGACGCGAACCGGCGACCGCGGCTCCCAAGCGGCGACGGAGCTAGCGGAAACGTCGCAGCTCCGAAACCGCGGATAAAAAGGCGAAAACGGCATTACGAGGCGCGGTCCCTTCGGTCCCGAGGATGCCGTAGCTCTCGTTCGGGTCCGGACACGTTCGGGTGCATTCGGATTGCAAATGCTTGCGTAAAGCAAATGCTTGCATATGCAATATCCTTGCATATTGCATATTGCCCATGCTTGCATATATACTTGCATATTGCATATTGCCCATGCTTCCATATGCAATATCCTTGCATATTGCATATTGCCCATGCTTGCATATCCTTGCATATTGTGCATGCTTGTATATTGCGCATGCTTGCAGTATGCATATGCTTGCAAATCGCATATGCTTGCAGATTGCATATGCTTGCAGATTGCATATACTTGCAGATCGCGTATGC